GATTGGTCTCGGCCACTACTGTCCTGTGCAAACTGAACTGAACTGAACTGAACTGAACTGCACAAACACCCACGGAGTGGGGTGGTTGGAGGTCCTCTCCTAGTCGCCCCTCTACGTGTATACCACTGAAGGTGAACCTTTTCATCCTATTGTCGCAGCACCGGAAGATCCTTGGAGCTCATCAGTGCAAGAAACTGGATAACCTGGCAAGCCGCCATCACCGTCCTGGGCACCAAACCAAACCAAGTCCTGTGCAACCTGACCTGACCTGACCTTGTATGTTGTTTCTTTACGGCTATACCGATCATAACCTTATTTTTAACCTAATTTTTATTGCTCACTGGTTACCAGGCTAGTATGGTTTGAATATTGAAGATAGTTTGTTCCTTTTAATTTTTTTCTAGTCTTTCGAAATTGTGATGCACATTTTTAGGTAGGTGTAGCATCTATAATAAATTTTTCCCGATGCATTGTTTCAGACAATCTTCCGAGTAGGGACGATCGCAAACGACGTCACACACTTGGATATTGCAGGCTCATGCAGCCCCAGCTGGATCTTAGAGCACGACGAGGTCCTATCTGTGATCTCTGAACTCAACCCAACGAAATCCGCCGGCCCAGACAACTTGCACCGAGCGGTGCTAAAACCACTGGCACCGGTAATCACTGAACCTTTAACATCACTGTTCAGTCAGTCGATGTCAACAGGCATCAGGCATAGTGCCGGCCGACTGGCGCAGGGCTGCGATTGCCCCCATCCAACGGCTACACAAGAATCTGGACGCTCGATTGACAAGGGCCCTAGTTTTATGCATACCATTGTTTTGCCTTTAGTTGAGAAAACCGGATTCATGGTTGATTTCAATATCTTGGGCGTTTATTGCACCAGGTATCCCAATAAGGCGTCATTTTTTATCGTAGTTGTGATTGTTGTTCCTATATCACATTGCTCGCGGACCGAAATTCATCTACACAATCCATTCTTATCCATTTGTACTTACTTGGTTTATCATTGGATTTTGTTGCAGTTAAATAAGTAACCAACTGGAAAATTTCTGCTGCGTAGTCATGAAGTCACTTGGAGAAGATTGGTTTTCTGTTGGAGATGTTCACTTCAGGTACTCTTGAACATTTCATGTAAAATGTTCACAGATCTCTGCATTTATTTGAAATGTCTTGGGGCCATGGGTTCTCATTTTCCCGATTCAAAATTGCAGCCGGCGAATATTCCGGCCATATAGGTGAGTCATTTTGCGTATCATGATTTATGTTTCTAATAGCTATGCTACTTGAGGGGCAGGCGGGCTGCAAACCGGTTTTGCAAATATACACGGCAGCTGGAAAGCTTGTGTCTCAGCATTTGGTGAGTTACTGACTTGTCTTTGAATGGGCAAACAATGAAAATCTCTAGTGGAAGGATGCGCCACCAGTCGCTCTGGGATGGTCTGTATCCGAAGATTTGGTAGTCGTGCAGAAAAGCGGGTTCGCATCAATACTCGATCTCTCCGGGAACTATGTCCGCCGTTTCAGTATGGGACAGGAAGCCGAGCAAAGAGACATTGTGGATGTCAAATTCTTCACTATGCATAATGTGAGTTCAGATTAAATGTAATGTAAACCCGTTCAAACAACTGATAATTATAATATAACCGGAGGTGCCCACAGAAGCCGACATCCGAAAGAAATTCCAAGCTCTGAAATGTTACAAAGCCTCTGAATCAGACAACCCACTAGCTACCGTCTTTGAAGATGGTGGAGAAGCTCTCGTGAGAGACCTTGTCAGACTGCTCTCGAAGATTTGGGAAATTGAAAACGTATCCCATGCATTCAGAGAGTCTATTTATACACCCATCTACAAAAAGGGCTCGCAACGCCTGTTCCAACCACAGGGGAATAGGTATGATTTCAGTATTCATATACTTAGATTATGCCGATGAGATTGTCTTACTAAGTGGCAACGCACTGACGATTCAAGACTCGCTGAAGCGTTTAGCAATCGTGGTTACTCGTTGTGGGATGTATTTTGTAGCTTCAAAGGTCAAGGTGTTGTTGCAAGATTGGAAGGAACCCGTTCCTGCACTTTTGTTGCATGATCACACTCTAGAAGTAGTTAGAAGCTTTGTCTGTCTCGGGAGTTGCATAACGGCTGGCGGACATGTGAGTGAGAAGGTCTCTCAACGCGTAATCAAAGCTCGATTAGCTTTCGTTAATCTGCTGATCTCTGGCGCTGGCATGCCATCCCTTTCAGTGAAATGGGGTGTTTATTGCGCAACAGTACGCACCGTGTTGCTCTATGGCTTCGAAACCTGGCCTCCAAGCCGATCATATCCAACGACTACCCGTTTTTGACAACCGTTGTCTGAGCAACATCACCTGCGTATGATGAGAACATCACGTGAATAACGATTAGGTCAGACGACGTGTGTTAGGATCAGATAGTCTTCCATTGAGGAAAACCATTTCAACTCATCTTTTTGGGTGACTGAGGCACTTCCTACGAGTGCCTGAACAACGTCTGCATACAGTGAGCTATTAGCAGACGTTGGCCCGGGTTGGAAGAAACAACGAGGTGGGCAGGCTATCACGTCCAACAGAGGTTTGAGGAGATTGTGCTCGGATTTGGCTTCTGTCGGGGCTTCTCGGCCAGTGGCCGAAAGATTCAGTTTGTCTTCGGTTGCAAATGCTCCACGATATTTCATCGAACCGAATTCATTGGCGTGAGTGCACCCTTTCTTGTGTGAGTCCTAAAGGTGAAACAACCAACATAATGTCAAAAATGGCGTGCAGTAAACAAACAAAATTAAAAATTTGTTATTCCCATTGTTGACCGTTTTTGTTTTCTCCCTTTACTGTTTCTATATTTCCCGTTCATTACATGGTTATTTTTGAGCTGTATCTGTAAAAATTAGTGTTACTTATACTCTAGGATGGAGAGAACAAGTTTGTCTGGAGAAATTTGCCGTTTATGGCGTTTATCACTTTAAGTGGAGTGGCGGTGCGGTCAAGCAATTTAGGTCACTGCCACCGACGGGTTTTGGACTCTCGGATCCAATTTTCGAATCCCGCCAACACCGGCACCCAACTTTGGTGTTTATCAGCTTCACTGTCGCACGACTCAATACCACAAATGAACTAGTACAACCACCCAGGATGCACTTTCGTGCACCGGTTCTGTTTGCTGTCTAATGACTCCCTGTTTGAATGTAAGAATAAAGAGAAGATTAAAATGTCCGGATCAGTGTCGGAGTGAAAATAGAAAATTAGTAAAGACTACGGTTACAGGGGTAAGAGTTAGATGCACAAGCGCCACTGTTTACGATACTCAGCCATGTCACTCAGTATCATTATCCATTGGTTACAATGACCCCGATGTCTGTAGAAATCCATTTTGTAACATTCATAATATATGCCCCAACCAACGCAGTCTATTGAGGTCGACCACTCGCTCCACTGGGCGACGACGAATATCTAAATCTCTGCACTGAATCTTGTTATTGCTTGTCCGGTTTTTCCACCAGACTCATGCAATGCGACGCGGATAGCGCGGTTCAAACATTGGCAGTCTAGCTTTATCATGTTTTCGTGGTGGCGAAGTGTCTGCGCGGTGTAGTAGAACTGGCCGAACTGTTGCAGTATGCCCTCGGTCCTTTGCATATATGGTGGTGGCCCGGTGGTAGCGTCACCAAATTATCGCCCCGGAGGTCGGGTGTTCGGATTCCATCATCACCACTTGACTTTCCCCATTGTGTGTTGTATGGCATCCCCTTGATTGACCGCTTTTCTCTTCCTGAAAAGTGTATCATTATGTATTTAATCAAAGGAAGTAAACTTTATATATATATATATATATATATATCAATCCTTACGTATGTAATTCCAAAGTGACCGTGGGTTGAAACAAAACTATCGAAGCACTGCCAAAAGTCGGTCTAAGAACGATCAGTTCTGGGTTGGTGATCGGAACTTTTTCGCTTGTTTACTGCACTCAACTTTGACTGTTTTCACTCTTTTTACTCTAATAGTTGAATACTACTACTACTACTGCTACTGCCACTAGTTCAGTATAGGTACCGTTATTTTGTCAGTTGTATTCATTCCAGCTGCAGTGAGGTATAGTGGCTATAGTTTTTAAAAGAGAATCTCCGTCGAAATCGAAAAGAATCGTTGAAGTTCTTTCGTTGTTATTCTTCTTTCCAAGCAAAACTAGTTGCTTCAAAATTCGGGTTCGTTTGATTAATTCCCCACCGAAATCTGGGCAGACTACTGGATACACCTTGATAAATAATGAAATTAACAACATACGTGAAGGCAGAGCTGCACAAGAGTACTTGTCTCTCTTCCCCACCCCGATTTTCTTTGACCGTTTAGGTTACACTTTGCAATAGTTCGAAAATTATGTTTATCCTCTATTTACACGAAATATAATGAGATTTATCCCTTAACTAATAAGTACCGTTTTGTTGATTCTATATTATCTCTCTCGTGTAATAATTCCTCAACGAGAAAACGAGCCTGTTGACTTCAGGTAAATTGTAACTGCTTTTAAATCAGGAAAGTTAGTTTTTCTGTAAACTTTTGTGTAACCTTATTACTTTGTTTCTAGCACACGGGATTGGCTGTTCTGACAGGTGGAAACCATATTTTTGTCAATACGAATATTGAAACGCCCCATGTACGTCGTCTGGCTGAACTTCCCGGACCCACGCAACCACTCACTTACTGGTTGATTGTGCCCGGTCCTCTTTCACTGACACACACGCCTAAATCTGAATCAGACGGGTTCAGTGGACCGTGGGCGCTCGTGGCGAAAAAGAAACTACTCTACCGAGCCGATTACGCGAATGTGGATATGGTCAGTTTCTTATTTACAGTGTTTTCACATTTTGATTCCTCCAGCTTTTCTTTGTTACCTATTGCATCCTGTGGCGGTGAGTACCTGTCGGATGATGTGAAGATTATGAGATAGTGTTAGCGGAAACAGAGGTTCTCAATTAAGGATCCTCTGGATTTGTGCATGGTGTGCGAACTAACAGCGTATAACTTCTTGCTTTCCACCCAAAGGCTCGGGTTTCAAGTCTGGGCAGGGAATAAAGTGTGCACTGAATGAGTCCGAACAGTAACTAAACAGTTTTCCAGCGCCAGTGAAGACAGGCAAATAAAGTACAGCAGAACATGAGGAGGAGGGGGATAAAATAACGGTCGCAGAGTGATACTTAAGCGTGATTAGCGTTGTCCAAACTCTGACATCTGTAAATTTGCAGTAGCCTTAAAAGAAAGCATAAATTTCACATCTTCACTTCTGTTTGGACTGCTCAACAATGGCCCACCAATTCTATTTCATCCACTTAGTTCCTCTGATTCCAAGGGTATATTGCACTCTAGTGGAATACGGTTACGGGTTAACTGGTCAATTGGTACTGGTTCAAATCACCATGTTCCAACTAACCTGTATTCTTCGTCGTCTATCATGACGAACTGCACCTTGACGAGGTGTGATCGCTTGTGCATCTTTCTGACCCAACGAGCTACACAGGATGGCTTTTGTCAAGCCAGGAGATCTTATGTTTGGAAGGCCAATGGGTAGAGGTCGATCGAAGCCCAGTCTCCTGGTCTTCCAGGTTGAGGGTTCGACTGGAATTTGCGTTTCACTCTGTAACAAATGGTGGAGGAGTAATCGATCCAAGTAAATGGGTCTCCACTTTGCTTAACCCGCTGCCTTGCGGCTAGGTTCTTGTCAGACCTAAAGGATTTGGACGAGAACCCTAATCGTTCCCCTGCTTAGTGGCTGTACACTCTGGCGGTATCCATCCATCAAAACCCAATGCGTACACAAGCTAAAAGTAATTCCATACTGACAATTGCATCAAGGTGGGTGGGTAGTGATAAGTGTGCTACTGCTCAGATATCCGAATCTTTGTTTAATTCTTTGTCTTCTGTACCCAGCCCTTTCCATTTGCCCCTTCTTTCGACCGGTAATAGTCCCTCAAGTAACTCGGATGTCGCTCGCCAAAGGTCGTAACCAAAAGGCATTATAAGTAACTTGCCACGAAATGGATTGTGGATTCTGAAGCGTCGTCAAACACTGAATCTGGGGGTCTTTAACCTGACTCTGGTGCGGTCAACAAGCTTGTCTGACACGTACAATGGAATCCTTACGGATCAATAGTTGCTGCTGATCGGAGACTCGAATTCAGGATCTTACCATTGTGATCCAGTTAACCGCACCAGATTTAGCCTCGAGGTACGTCTTTCGTACATCAAGCGACGACGAAGCCCGTTCAGTAGGTCCGCGCGGGGTAGGTATTGTACTCTGTAACAGGACTGAGTCCTCTCTTATCAATTCGATCCCCGTCAGCAGTCGTTTGTGTGCAGTGCGTCTCCAGGGTTCAATCAGCGGCCGGAATGGAGGCAACACCAATAGGTGTTCGTTCATCATGTCAGCATATACACCGACCAATTGCGGTTCTGTTACACAAAAGGATGCTTTCTGCGATGAACTCACCGATCTCATTGTGATAAGTCAAAGCTCCGACGTAGTTGTACTTGCAGGTGACTTTAACGCGCAGGTTTGAAATCTGAATGCATCAAAAGCTTTCCTAAGCAGTAGTTGTGCTCTGCCCTGCCAACGAACAGATAACGGCGATCGACTTCTTCAGTTCTGCGCAGGCCATCATCTGTTCCTATTCAGTACCAGCTTCCGAGACAGCTCTCGACGGACGGCAATATAGTAGTCCAGTTCAATTGGTACGCTAACTCTAATCGACCGCATAGCCTTAAGCTACCGTTAGTGTGGCTCAGTGCAACATTGCAGGTCCTATTGGACCACCTTCGTTGAGTCAGACCACGCATTTGTTATGATACAGTTCACTCTCCGACTCACTGTCTGGCGACAAAACCAGCAAAGTCGGCTAGCTCATCATTGCCTATCTGTTCCAGCAGTTCGTGCACCCTATGAGTTAGGGCTAACCCGTGAGCCAGGCGCACCTCAATGTGATGATGTATGTGAGCAGTGGGATCAAATCAGGTGAGCAATGCATACCGCAGCTAATGTTACCTGTGGGTCTGAGCCTCAAACCTGTGGGAGGCTTGGAAAATCTCATGAGTCATTGGTCCAGATGGAGAAAAAACGATAAATTCCAACCTGCCAGGATCAAAACACAGTTGGGTGGCATCTACTATGTCTCCTCACGAAGAGAATCAAGAAGTACGATGAGAACTGGTGGTTAGAAATAGCTTGTGAAATTGACCTGGCAGCTGCATCAGGGGATAGTTGAAGACTGTTCCGACTGATACGCAACACAGGAGTGTGATGAACTCTAGTAACGTTTCAAATTTCGAAATATGCCCATAGTAGCATTTATAATATGATTTCAAGCGAACAATTGTTTTCAGTAACTCATAATCATGCCGTTACAGTTTATATGAGGAGGAATAATCCTAGGGGTTGGGAGGAGAACAATAAAATGTGAGGAATCGTTCACTTCATGTCTGCGTTTG